TGAATTGTATAATTTCAACTTTTCTCGAAAAGATATACAAAAAGGCACCTGGAAATCACCAGATGGAAAGTAAATATGATAGATCATGTTTTGTAGACTCAAGGCACCAATAGAATATAATAAACATCCAAACCAGGAGAGGAGCAAATATGGATTCTGATCATTATTGGGTCGAAAGTAGGGTAAAGGCCAGAAGGAAATAGGTTCTAAACGTGAACGATACAATTTCTGAAGGACACAAAGATACGAACAAAAATAGAGAATATAAACATCACACTAGAGACCAGACTAAAACATGAAAACCTAAGTTAAGAGTGGTAAGTGTGCAGAAACATCATGAAAGAAGCAGCTGAAGAATTAATAGGTATGGAAAGTAAACAAAGAACAACAGACTGTTTTGACAAAGAATGTCAAATTAAACAGAAAGAAAAACAGCAAATTTACTAATGCAATAGGGACACAGAACCCGACAAGCAGAGGAGAAATATAAATAACTACGTAAGGAAGAAAAGAAAAAAAGAAAATTCACCACAGAAGAAGAGAGAAAATATAAACAAAGAACTACAAGAACTAAGTAAGCCAACAAAGACAAGAACATTTTAATATAAACTGAACAAAAGCAGAAAATAATTTAAACAAAATATGTGAATAGATATATTGACATATCATATCAAGGAGAGAATTATATATTGACAGAACAGCAAGAAAAACTAAGAAGATGGAATTCCTGAATGCGACCGAAAATGTTTTAGATTATATTGATATATTAGATGTTCTGACTGTACTGACCTACTTCTTTGTAGAACACATAGAGACAGCTTAATGGTACAATAAAGTAATCACGCGTATGACTCCTTTCATTTTTTTAGCTGGAGTATATAAGTTATTATATTGAGCATAATTTAGTGTCACATCTTAATTCGAAATATTTGCAGATGCTCCAGTCTATCGTGTCGCATAGTGGAACCCAGATACCGTAGGTATCTGGGTTGAGCGAATTTTCTCCTTAGAGGAAGTGTGAGCTCATGGCTTAAATCTCGATAATTAAATTAAATCAGGAATGTTTCTTTACTCTAACCGATTAATAAAAAAGAACAGAAATATATACTAATGTGCGTTATACCTAAAATATACTTATATTGGGACAGTTGTGAAAATACTTCATCTGCTTGATTTATTACTTTGCGTAATTATTTTGCGGACTTTAGATCACTTGAAATATTGAACAGCACAAACTTGAAAAATGAATTGAAACTATCTTCAGCCACGAAAGCCCTTTATTTTTAGAATGATACACATACACTCTACACAAATTATTTTTATTTATTTACCTATTAGAACATATTTTCATACATTTTTTAATAGAAAAATAAGTTATGCAATGGAATCTTTATTATTTGTACACTAAGTTTATTCACTAAAATTTTAGTTAGATTCATTAATGTCATAATGTATATTTTGTTATAAAAAGCACTAAAAGTTTAATAATATGTAGTTTATCCTACTATATCTAATAGTATTAGTATATTACATTTATTTCAATACGTGTATATATTTGTTTTGGTATTTTTATAAATACCGAAACAAAACGAATAAAAAATTAACATGGTTCATATTATATTATATATCTTTTCCCATAAGTCTTATCCACATTTATAGCTTTGGGCTATCCGTCGTCTACTTTGAGATTTTTAGGAGATTATTTTTATATCTGTTGCTGATAATAGTGATGTATTGTAAGATTTGTTAACAAGTTGTATGACCAGGACTGCCTGGTCCGTCACATGGTTCAGTAAATAGTAACTTTACTGCAAAAAAATCGGCATTTTGTCGTCTTCCAATATAAATAGTAAGTAAAACCGATTCCTGAGAGTTTGCGATTTGACCTCTTTAGTATATTTTCCATGGAATTATTTAAAACATCTGTTACCCAAATAACACCAATTTTAAGGACAGATTCAAACGTAACAAATCTATGTTTATATGTAATTCGAAATTACCATATTTCAATTATATTGGTTATATTTTGTGAAAATTAGGATGTAACTTAAGGCCGAATGGTCAGTTTCAACTTTGTAGCTTTCATGAATATTATGAATTAAATGTAATCTGTACAAATGACATGGATCATTGATTGACTGTATACTAACCAATAGAGAGATACACCCATTCGAAATTTGAGATTTACTGACATTAATCTGTGCGGAAATAGGAAGTGATCACACATTAGTAGTAGGGAAAATACGAATGATCAACTCAATATTCAACAAGAACCCACATCCAGAATACGTCACTAAAATATCAGTTGAAAATCTGCAAGACATATTATCAAAATAACTAACACATGGAGTTAGAATCTATGGAGAAGCTATGAGCATATTAACGTATGTATTAAAAACGGCATAGGTAGGAGTGGCTAACTATAATACCAATATGGCGGTGACATCAGGGCCAGACTCAATAATAATAAAACTACTATACAAATATGACTAGTTATTCAGAAGATTTAATCATAATCTAAAAAAGTGCAATACATTTTTAATAAACTATGATTTATTTATCCCGCGGTAAACACTAAAAACACGATATATTATATATAAAGATAAATTAATACAGTCAAATAGTATTAATTTATTCTCTGAAGTACGGGTCATTACTTTGTTTACATATTTGTATACTAACCTGTGGAACGATATTCCTGAAGGTTTTTTATTAACATTACTTCTGCTACTGCAACTACGTTGAGAACAAGAAACCATTATTATACACTATCACAATATATTACAGTTTCTATAAAATTATTATAAAACTGAAAATATTCGAAAAACAACAAATATAACCAAACATATACAATCTGTCAAAAGTTTCAAAACAATAATACCAATATGGCCGAAGTTCGGTCGTTTTTAGTCACGTGATGCCCTCTCCATAGATTCTAACTCGATGAACTAACAGAATCAATAAACAGCACTTGATACCAGGAAAGGCTAAACAAAAATATATAAAATAGCCAAATAATATATAAATAGCCAAATAAAATAGCCAACAGGTCATTCTCTCTCCTGTTGCCGACCAGAATGTAGCTTTCACTATTTTTTAAATAATTTTAACCTGTTTGTCCTTGTTTAGTGTAGTGTTATGTTCAATTTTATGTTTAATTTTAAGTTTATGACATTCTACAATTGTTGGATAGCCCTAAATTTGACGAAATGACCCTAAAGATGCTCTAACAAGCGAAAGTACTTGAGCAAGATTTAATTAATAAAACAGTGCTCGATATCTGCCTTTCATTTTATCTAAGTTTAACTAGAATATCCCGAAGTAATTTTGAATTTCTTTTAAATAAATTTAGCCCATTAATTACCTAGCAGACGACCAATATGAGAGAACTAATTCCTACATCAACAAAACTTGCCTTAACCCTTGCAGAATAAATAAGTGCATACGAGATATAATACAACTTGAGTTGATTTCTATTCCCACTGGATATTCGGCAATTCGTATCAGCGACATTGAGCATTATGGAATAATATGGAACAATTAGAAGCAATTGCCACTTTTTTAAATTGTCCCATATCGCTCCACTAATTACTCCAGATTGATTCATTCGTGTTGTCGAGTTCAAATTGATTGCTCAAAAAGTTGCCCGTATAAGCGCACCGTAAAAGACTATGAACGCAAATCATGACAGAGGTTTTCGCCAAATTCGTCTCTTTTGAGCATATTTCGTTCATTCATTGAACTAAATGGTGATAGTAGCGCAAGAGCTACGAGTCAGAAGAGAATCTAGAAGATACAAATTGCTTTTATACCTCACATTTTACACATGTATCACCAAAATGGAACAACGAAAACTGATTGTATCGGATGTCAAACGCTTTCAGTATGCGCACAAAAAACGTACGAAAAGAATCATACGTCTAGGTACGAGACAAATTGTATATAAAGTGTCCTTGACCTAAGAACGTATCAAGAAATTTAAAAACAAAAAAAATAAGAACAATCAGAGTTATATTACATACGCGAGAGACATGTAAAAACTAAGATGAGTTATAGGGAAAAAACAACAAAGCAAATATACGTAGACGGTTGCGTTTGGATTTAATTTGAGTCTTTTACCATTCTCGAACACGTGTTTCTGGGCCTACCCGTCATCAGAGAGACTTGTAAGAGCAAAATAGTAAAGCCTTGTGTTAAAATTGTTTGAGAATTGTTGCCAGAATTGTTTTATACAGGCAAAATAATTATAATAATTAAAAGTAAAAGATTACGATATTTAGGTAATATAGGGAGCTTAAAAAATGAAAGAATGATAAAAGCGCGAACCGCGAAAAAGATGATTAGAGAATATACGAACATCTGCATATAATTGACATCTACAATTGAGAGGAATAAACATTGGATAGGGAGAAATCGATAGAATTGGTAAAGAAACGCCTGAAACATTAGAAAACAAAATTAAATAAAGATAAAATAATAAGCGTAAGCGTGTCGAGCTTTATAAATAAGTAGGTGTAAAAAACTATGTCTGTAATTATGTCTAAATAAATATAACATAGTCGATAGTAAAAGTTAAATAGTTTCTTATAATTTTCTATCTATGCAATCTTACATAATGTTATGCAATATATTTTATAGGTTAAAATTTTGCCATTTTTATGTTTATAACCATACTCTTGGTCTTTCATTGAATATAATTATGAAACATATGTTCTTTACGAAACTAATTGACTATTTTAACTTCTAAATATGTATAACCAAACAGACCAAATTATATTATACATGGTAAATATAATTATGCCTCTATGGAAATTTTTTTATGATATATTAGTGCATATACGTACACTTATTATTATTATATATGTATGAAAACATGTTCTACTTAAAATGTACTTGTGGTATGGCAATGGTAAGACCTTTGCTGCACTCTAGTTGCAATTCCCCAAACCAAACCCTTATACCTTCTACGTATGCTTATGCTGCATGTTTATGTGTAAAAGGACGTCCTGGTGCACGCTCCCGGGGAGCTCCCATCGCCTGGTGTACCTCCAGTCCACAGCACTTTTCGCTCTTTTCACCAACCATGGGAAATCGACCAGACCCGACAGTTGCAGGCTGCAGGACAACCGCACTACGTACAACCGTCACTGTTTTGCACTGACATTGTTCCCATTAAGGTACACTATTTATTTTTTTTTTTTGTTCCAAACCAACACACTTTATTCGTTTTGTGAAAAATTTCGTGTTTTTGGCTGTAGTTTTGGCATAATTAGTAATTAATAATATTTGTGGATTGTAATAATAACGAATAAAATAATGCGGAATAAGTTTATTCCGTTCAGTTTACCATTAAAAGTTTTAAAAATTTCATTTCTAGGGAATAAATATTGAGAAAAAAATATCGTGCATAAAACCACCATACGTATCAATAAACTACTAAATGCAACTTCAATAAAATAAATTGCTTTGGAAATAACTATTTATGGAAAAAATAACTGTTGGACATAAATGTCAATACTTGATCATAATTCTACACAGGCAACATATAAAGGTTACCAAACAACATGATTTTTACATAAAAATGTATTATAAAATAATCAATAACTTGATGTCTATGAGCACAAAATACCATTTTTGCATTTTAAGACCAAAATGAACCACCAAAGGTACTACAATTAGGTATTATGTTACTAGTATTTATTTTGTTATGCTATACTCGTAATAAAATAAACATAGTCCTCATTCAAGATCAAAGCATGTATCAAATGAAAGCTCATAATTAAATAATAGTTTGGGCGCATCTTCCTATTTTACAAATGAGGCGTTCCCGAGAAAATCAGAAAAAGAATCAACTACACTAAACTAAAATAAAAAAAAATAACTCAACCTCAATTTGAATCTCCATTAATTAAAAAACAGTTGGGACATATATTCCAATTTTGATAGAAAGCTGTTCCCGAAATATGTAGTAAAAAAAAACAACTTACGTCACTAAGCTAAAAAAAATTGGCCGAACCTCAATTGGAACCTTCATGCTTCACTTTGCCTTAACACAGAGAAAGAGAGCAAGCGATGTAGAGCGAGAACAGACAGGTTATTGTAATTGCGTACGAGTATTTTATGTGCATGCTGAGTGCAAATTTAGCTATTTTATAATAGTAGTAAACGAAAAAAAAGCAATTGCTGAAACCAGAAACTGATAATTATTGGATGAATTATCTTCTTCTTTGTGTATAGACATGACTCTGTCTGTTTTTCAATGTGCCTCCAGTAAGTTGTCGTTCCATCGTTTTGGAGAATTCCTATTGGGGAACAGTCTCTTGCCGTCTTTACTACTCTATTTGTTGTCATTCGGCTTATATGATCGTTCCATTCTACTCTTCTATTTCTTACCCAGTTCTTGATGTTCTCCACCTTGCATCTACCTCGTATATTTGTAGTACAATTATTGGTCTGCTCAATGTTTTGTAAATTCTGCCTTTCGTTTCTTCCTCGATATTTTTATTTATCCATATTGTTTCATTTACGCAGCCTGCGGCTCTGTTTGCTCTATTCATTTTATCTTCCACTTCGGTTTCGAGCTTTTCGTAGCTAGATAATGTGATGCCTAAATATTTAAACTCCATCACTTGTTCTATTATCTGACCTTCCAGCTAAAATTTACATCTTAGTTTATTTGCTGTTGTAACAATGCATTTTTTCTTTTTTGGAGAAATTACCATGTTAAATGTTCTGGCGGTTATATTAAATTGGTGCAGCATACGTTGTAAATCATCTTCACTTTGAGAGAGTAGTATTGCGTCGTCTGCATAGCAGATTGTTTTAAGTTGTTTCTTCCTTTTTTAGTTCTTACTTTTTTTATTATTTCATCCATAATCAGCTTGAACAAACTAGGACTCAAAGAATCTCCCTGTCTTACCCCATTGCCAGCTTCAATAGGGTCGGTTAGTTCTTCTTCTACTTTTACTTTCATTGTGTTGTTTTGGTAGATATTTTCGATCGTTTTGATTATTCCTACAGGTATCTGTTTCACGTACAGTAAGTGGATAACGTCTTTTAATTTGACCCGGTCAAATGCCTTTGTAAGGTCCACGAAACATAGATATGCCGGTTTGTTGTATTCTAAAGATTTCTCTTGCACTTACCTCATTATAAATATAGCGTTGGTACATGATCTTCTCGACTTAAAGTCTTCTTGTTCTTCTGCTAGTGATATCATTTCATTCAATTTATTTATCACCTTGGTTGTTGATTTTAGTGTTGTGTTTAATAAATTAATTCCTCTGTAATTTTCCGGGTCCGATTTGTCTACCTTTTTGAAGAGATATATTAGGATGCTTGATCTCCATTCTTGAGGAATTTTGTTTTGTTCTATTATTTTTTGGATTAGTTTTGATAGTTGTTTGGTTACATCTGGTCCTCCGTTATTTAGGAGTTCGTTCCGTATTCTTTTCTCTCCTGGCAATTTTCTATTTTTTAATTTCCTTAATGCTTCCTTTACCTCTTCCTCCTCAATATTTATTTCTTCGTTTGTCGTCACCTCTGGTGTTGATGGTTCATTATCGTCACCTTTACCAAATAGGGATCGAAAGTAGTCTACTCAGGTTTTCTTCTGAATGTTTTTCGTTTTTGTTAGTTCGTTCATCTCTTTTCTTTGTCCTCTGAGCATTCTCCGTATTTCTTTTTGAGTTCCTTAGAAGTCGTGTTCCATCTGTTTTGAGAAACTCTGCCAGTGTTCATTTTTTTATTAAATGATGGATGAATTATCAAAAATATGAATTATTTAAACAGTTCCAACATTTCAACAATTGAACTACAGTAACAACTATGGAAAATTTTCCAGTGGTTGGCTGTATATCATAATATTAAATAAAAATATGAAAAATTGATTATTTAAAATTCATTAAAACCGTTTTCGTCCTATCACAACCATCTTCAAGGAGTCTGAATAATCACATGCCTGCAGCCACATAATATATAGATATAAAAACCCTCACGTTACATTTTCGTTTTTAAACTAAACTTAACATTGTTAATATAATATCATTAGTTATTGATTCAACTGTAAGGGAACATCATGAGAGCTTACTTTAAACCGATTTAACTCTGAAGGTGTGTTACCTTACAGAGGATGGAAGCTAACTCCGTCTTCCAGATGGCTTCCATTTGGAGTTAGCTTCCACTACAGGGTTAAGTCGTTTTTAATTATTGTCTCATGGTGTTCTTTTACAATTAAATCTGTCATGATCAATGGAGTTTAAGTTCTAATAAGAATTAGAGTGTAACATGTAAAACTTCTGTTAATGGTGGCTCAGTAGGTTCTGGTACGAATATTAAGGAAATGTTAAGAAATATAGAGATTGGAAGATAATTCATTACATTAATTTTTTCTCTTTGGTCCTGACCCTTCCCCCTCCCCTAATCAAAAGATCCGACGATCGCTGTCTCTGGTCATTTCTTTTAACTCATAGGTCTTTTACATATTCTTGTAATTTGGTAGTTCCATCTTGTTGGGATCTTCCTCGTGTTCGTCAGCCTTCTACCAATCCTTGGATAATAAGTCTTTACATGATTTCTGTGTCTGCTCTCATAAAATATTAAAAGTATTTTAATTGTTATAGATGGACTTTGCTTGAGAGCCGTTTGCTGATCTTTAGTTCATAATTTAAAATTGAATTAATTGTCCGGTGGTCGGTCCACGAAATTCGTAACATTCTTCTCCAATAGAACGTTTCAGTGGCGCCATCTGTCAGCATTGGGAATATTAACCTCATTTTTAGAGTTCGTGAAATTTGAGAGTCCTTCCATATTTTGGCCATCTTTCCTACTGCTACTTTTGGTAGATCACATCTACGTTTTATTTATTCCTGTAGCGCTCTTCTCGTACTATGATCCGCATATATATTAAATAATTGCGAAAAAAATATACATCCTTGTCTGATACCTTGTTCTGGCTGGAATTTATTTGAGAGTGTCTCAAGCTCTTTAACTGTTCCAGTTGTGTGTTCTTATATTCGTATGTGTCAGCGATACTCAACCTTTTTTTTCCCTGGGCCGCATAGTAGCTATTGCCACAGCTTGCGGGCCGCAATCTAGATGAAGATTTATATTATATATATATATATATATATATATATATATATATATATATATATATATATATATATATATATATATATATATTTTCAAAATACTGATTTCAAAAATGTATAATACTTGCGCAAAATTTCGGTCAAATGCTTTTTAAATGCATTAATTTTTTTAATCCTTGGAAAACTAATAAGAATTTTGGAAAAACTTAAACGCAGAATAAAATATTACAATATTACCGATGGCCAAAAGTCCCTAAAAACTTCTATAATGTTTATTTTAATAAGTTACAGGGGTGCAGGGCCGTGCCGTGCTATGATACGGCGAGGCAGTCGCATCAGGCGGCATCACAAGGGGGGCGGCATAATCAGTAAAATAAAAAAAAATGTCAGGCTGTGTAAAAATGTCAGAAACTATATATAAAACGAAAAGTTACAGATAATATGGCTAATGACCAAATGAAAATTTAATGCAATTGCAGAAAAGTTTATATATGTATTGCATTTCCAGCTGAAAATGAAATTCAAGTAAGGACAAAAAGCGAGCCAGGATAAAAAAGCGAGCCAGGATAAAAATTCATTGGTTTTTTGGAATTCTGAGAAAACTAATAAGTATTTTTGAAAAATTTAAACGCAGAGTGAAAGATTACATTATTATCGAGGGCAGAAAGTCCCTGAAAATTTCTATGTCTATTTTAATAAGTTACAGAGGTGAAGGACACAGAAAATTTATTGTGATTTTTAATTTCAAATATTTCATTTAAAAGAAATTTTTTATTTATTCTAAGGGAATTTAGGCTCTGGGTAATAATGAAATATTTTATTCTGCATTTAAAGTTTTCAAAAATATTAATTAGTTTTCTCAGGATTTGATAAAAAATGCATTTAAATAGCATTGGATCAAGATTTTGCGCATACCCTCCTAATAAAAATGAAAGTTAAATTTCAATCATATTTAAGAGGCGGCATACAATAATGTGATCTTTCATTCGGTGTTTAAATTTTTAAAAAATACTCATTAGTTTTCTCATGATTCTAAAAAAATGAATGCATTTAAAAAGCATCTGACCAAAACTTTGCCTAAGTATGATACATTGTTGTAACCAGTATTTCAAAAGTGTTTAAATGAGATGTCACATGATGTCTAAACTTCCCAATTTAAAACAATCATAGTTACGACTACGATAAATTATTTATATCATATTTTTTTTTTTCAAAAGAGAAATATACCCAATATTATTTCTGTCATAGACGGACATCAACTTTTTAACGTCAATGCTATTTTTTCCAATAACGTACAAATAACATTAATGTAATCACTTCCGAATTCCGATTTCCGAAAATCTTCACGAATTCCATAATCCTCAGTACAGTACCGTACAAAAAGGGAATATTGTGAAGTTAATGAAACATCAGTGTTTGAATCAAATGCTAAACTCCAATATTTACAATTCTTCAAGTCGTCGATGATATGATTAAAAATATTTTTCGAAATATCTTCAATTCGCCTGACGCACGTGGAATCTGAGAGTTGTAGTTGTCTGATTTGTGATATTATCCGAGTTTTCAAATAGAATATTTGAAGCATTTATAGAGCATTTCTTTACAATCTCATCGTCAGTAAATGGCTTCTTATGTTTTCCTAATAAATAGCAAATTTTGTAGGACGCTCTCGTTACTGATACATCTTGGGACATTGAAACTACCTTTATATTTTGCTGAAATAACGACCTTTTCAAGACGCATAGTTTTTCTCTTCGCAATGCAGAGCCGACTGGGAAACTATCGCTAAACATCTTGTGTTTTGTATTATAGTGTCTCATAATATTATACTTTTTTAATAAACACTCTCTCGACAAATCAAATAAGTTGCTGAACCGTGTTTGTTAGGTACAACAAAATATTCATCTTCCCAATTGTCTTAAAATAGTCTGTATTCGTCAGATATTTTACGTTTTGATTTTGAGGACACGCCAGCCATTGTCACTGTTTTAAATTCCCGGCAAATCAATTATAATTAAAATTACTATAAGTAAAACAAAAATACTTCACTTGACAAAATTTGAAAAAGACGATACGTGTGTAAACGTAAGCGCTGAATGAAATTGATATGTTCATATAAAATTGAACTGGTTCCAGATCGGCATGAATTGGAAATGCAAACATAGCATACCAACGTCAACTTCGGGAAATCCCCGGTTGAACACCACAGGCGCGGACCTTTTTATATTATAAATTATACATTGTTGATTAGGGAATTTTTAATAATATTTTTATAATGAATTACAAAAATATCTAATATAATCGTATTTTTTAAATTTAAGGATTTTATAAATACATATGTAGATAAAGTCAAAAATTCTTAGTTAGCCTTCGGGCCGCATAAAAAACGCCCGAGGGCCGCATGCGGCCCGCGGGCCGCAGGTTGAGTATCACTGGTATGTGTCATAAGTATTGCCATTTGACCCTGTCGAACGCTTTGCGAATATATTGAATTACCTAGATATTTCTATTATTTGTTCTATGTTCAGAAGATGTATGTCTACCTTTGGTAATTACATTATCTAATAATATACATATAATTAAAATGAAATTGTTAAATAATTAATGATGGAAAACATAGTCTTCCAAAGAGTCTCCCATAGCCTTATTTTGCATATTTAGAATAAACAAAAAACATGTCTAACTAATCTTGGAAATGCCAAAATTAATATCATTATTTTATTAACAATTTACTATTATTGCAATTTTAGTAATAAGGATATTTTTTCAATTAAAGAAATCATAAAAAAAACTATATTACTGTTAAAGTGAGTACCTACTTTCTTTTTAATAAAAATACTCTAAGAATGAAAATGCCAAAACTAAGCCATTCAAACTCTTCTTTATTGAATATTTTCATTTATTGTTGTACTTTACAGATTCGAACCGGAAGAGGAAAATCCCTAGAATCTTTAGAGGATCCAAGTGAGAGAACCCACCACACATTCACTGCAGATAACCATCAAACAGTATACTACCAACCCATTGGCTGGCGCACAAGGTCCTATGACGATGGGGACATCACTCCAACAAACGAGTCAGCATTGTTATACGAAGGAGGAGGAACTCTTCCTAGACCACGCGGTATAATTCGTCCTAGACCAATCGCCAAAATAGCAGCTAAAGCCCGTGAAACCTTCCCAGAATTTGAAAAACCCCAGTTTAATTCCCAGTATAAGCCCTTGTCCAGGGATGTGATCGACGGCAGTGCATATCACATGCAATATAGTAGTAGTCCACTGATGGGTAAGAAGATACCACCGAATCCACCAAAGAGGCAGGATAGTGAATGTAATGAACAGACCACAACAGTAGAAATTCACCATGTTCAGACTTCTAGCCCTTTACCTCTGCCAGCATATCCTAGCTCGGATAGTCTTAGTATATCTCTAGATAGTCAAGGTAATTACTAAATTTTATCTACTGACTATAACTAACTGTGTCCTTTACCTTCTTCTAAAGGTACCTATGTGCTAGCGATGGCGACCACATTGACACATCTTATTCTATTTACAGCAACTCAAAATAGATCAGTTTACGTTAGACTTGTCCATTTCTTCAAATTGCCAGGATATACGTCTACGTCCAGGGCCTCTCTTGTCCTAAAACTGGCCTAGTAGCATCTCCAAGACGATTATTTTTTCGAGAAGAATAGTAATTACTCCTTATATTCCTACCCTTTATTACATGTTACTAGGCCCAAAGAAAAAAACTGTTCCATTGCTTCATAAGTCGATAGCGATTAAAGTGTATACTAAATATAAAATCAGTGTAATTGGTAATTTGGAAGGTTACATACAGCTAACACCACTTTCGGTGAAGTTTCGTCCCACAGATTTTGAAAGGACCCATTATGGGTCCTTTCCTCCTCTTCTGATACCTGATTCTTCATGTTCTTTAATTTCTGTACATATTTTTCTGTAGATACTATTTTCGTACCGTACGTACTTTCATGACTGGTTGTCTTCAGCATCCACCTAGCTAGACCCTGATTAGATGGTCAATCAGCCTGTGTTCATCCGTACATCCGTACATCCTCGTTTATCCTCTGTGTGCGATTTCTGTCAAGGATGTCTCTGATCTTAAGGAGTATTCTTGTGGCTTAGTGGAATAAATACCTTGTCCTATTCTCAGCCACCTCCATCAGGTGGCAATAACACTTCGAATATTGATAATGTTTATATATATATATATATATATATATATATATATATATATATATATATATATATATATATATATATATATATATTTATACAGCGAAACATAGGCGATACAAGGTGAAAACTCGCCTTGAACAATAATTGTTACACTATCATACATGCTGTATTAGATGATCATTTAGATTTAAGTAAAGCACGTAAATAAATTTTGAAACCAAATTTAATTTGAATTATTTTTCAGGTGATCTTCCTTTGCCCCCTCCGCCAGCACCAGGGACACCCCCAGGAATGTCCCACACACAGTGTAAACTAAACTCGTCTCAGTCTTGGAGCGTAGAGGAACAAGAGCTTATCAAAACGTTGGCGTTACAGCACAGAAATGGTTCTGATGCAAGTTTTAAGGTAATAGATTTTATATTTTTAGTATTTTTTATTTAATTTAATGTTGAAACTGGATGACTCGGTCTTCTAAAATCACAAAATAATAATCTAAAATATTAATCTATTTTAACATGCGCAATATGCGACTGAAAGTGAGTCGAAAAAGTTCAATTTTAACTCTAAGAAGATTAATGGATGAACTTACAATTTAACATATTTGTGATGAATGATTTTTACCAAAAGATTTTAACCCATTAATGCACAAAATTCAATTTTTATTAAAATGAAATCAAAACTTCAGAATGAAACAGAGATAGGTCGTCTTTAATAGGAATGAATGTGTAATATTCACGTTTTTTTTTAACTGTCTTTTTTACGTAAGATATATCATACGCTGGGCAATCAAGGACAAAATATTTCATAAAACATTAAGTAATTTATTTTAAAATTTTTACAACTTGTGACATTTAACGAGACATTGCTCGGGAATCTCAGGATAAAGTACTAATTACATTTAATGCATCGATATTTGGTGCAGTTGCCACATTTACTGTACTCTCGTTGTTTTCCAATTGTATCCAACGAATGGCTCACATTATCCAAACGAATTTCCTCAGCAACATGTTTTGAGGATTTTGGACGTACTTCACGTGGAGTTGGAATATCTGGAGCTGTCAGTACGGCTTTCACAAGTTGTCCGTAAAATTCTAATAAAGAATTGCCATTTAAACAAAATCTCAATATCGTCCAATACCATTTTTTATATCGAATTTAAATCTTATACAAACCCCTTAGCTTATCGAATAAGTCTACACCACCCATTCCCTTGTTTTATATTTGCACAACGTTTGGCTGAGGATCCACTAGAATTTTTTATGAGAGACCATCTGTTACAGCTACCTATAGTAAATATTTCTGAAAGTGAAATATTATTTGCCATATTAACTTCATTATATCATTCCAGAGAAAAACAGTGAATGTATGCTCACTATGTAGAGCGTGGGAAGTTCCACGAATTTCTTTTTTTATTTCTTTGAGAGTGCTTTCAATCCTGTCTTTTCTAATTGTGCCGATACAGTGTATCTATTGATCTCTCAATCTTGACGGTAGAGTTTTAGATATAAAAAAATATCAATTTAAATAACAGATTCCTGTGGTAAAAAGCCTGTACACAGTTTTTCAGTTACGGAATTCGCTAATTTATCTTTACTTTTAGTAAAGGGATGGAATTTTGCAAGGTAACCTTTACTGGTCGTAATGTACCAGAATTTATATCCGTATCGGATAGGTTTTCCGCGAATAAACAGCTTCATTGAATGATGTCCATAATACGGCATCATCGGTTCGTCCAATGAGAAACTTCCGTTCATTGGCTGTAGGTAATAAGAAAAACGAATGAATCTGTTCAAATCTGTTTTGACTCATAGTAACTAACTATGTAGATGCGAGTGAGAATCCCTAAATATTTCCAATCCATTCTACAAGAAGAATATCCAGAGAGAATAAAGCTACCAAAGTGTGTTTATATAAATCATCAACAGAAAAAGTGAAAGGCCAGGATTTTTTGGAAGCAAGCTTTTTTTTTGAAATGTCATTTATGCTTTTTTCAGGTTTTTTTTCTTTCCACGTCAGATTTTTTTCTGTTTTCAGAGTCTTGTGACATTTTTGCAACCTCCCTTTATCTTTTCTTACCTGATTCGTTAGTTTCAGTCAAAGTTTTGTTTGACAGAACGGTTTTCTCAATTGCTGTATTTTTTCGAGAAATAGCTCTAATATTCATTCTTTGAGATAGTATACCTCGCCCAATATTTTGAAAAGTGTAATTGAATTGGTCTTCCTCATCACTTCCAGCATCATCTTTGTCAGAATCATTTCCGTCGTTTTGATATTGCAACGTGAGTTGAACTTTGTGACACTGGTCAATTTCCTGAGCTAAAGTATCGTCATATATTTTTAACAATTCCTCTACATGTGAGAATATGAAAATGCCACCATGCAAATAAAGCTGGATGAAAGCACAAAAACTAATGTCATAAGACTACAACGGGGAGTAAGACAAGGAGACACCATCTCTCCCAAACTATTTATCCTTGCTCTAGAAGACATTTTTAAGAAACTAGAATGGAACAATAAGGGTATCAACGTCGACGGATCATACTTAAATAACTTGAGATTCGCAGATGACATAGTTTTAATAACCGATAATATCCAAAAACTAAATGATATGTTACAATTAAATGCAGTTTCAGAAGCGGTTGGCTTAAAAATGAACTACAGTAAAACAAAAATACTGAACCGAGACCAGACAAATATAACAATACAAAAGCATACCATAGAAAATGCTGAATATTATGTATATCTAGGTCATGTCATCAAACTAGGAAAACCAAATCAAAATGCTGAAATTAAAAGAACACAACTGGCATGGGGCGCTTTCGGCAAACTAGTATATATCTTGAAAAACACCTCCATTCCTGTAAACTTAAAGAAAAAGGTGTCTAACTCATGCATACTACCAATTTGTAGCTACGGCTTGGAGACAGTAGCCCTTACCAAAAAATCAATGCAAAGATCAATGTAACGAATCATGCTTGGAATATCACTGAGAGAAAAGATTAGAAATACCGAGATAAGACGTAGAACAAAGATCAGGGATATTGTGGAAGAAATTACAAAAACTAAATGGCGCTGGGCAGGTCACACAGCCCTATATAATGACAACAGGTGGACACGTAGAATTCTAGAATGGGGACCAAGGACGGCAACAAGAGGCATGGAAGACCTCAAAAAAGATGGATAGATAACATAAGAGCAGTGGCATGCAAACAGTGGATTCGATTGGCGCAAAATAGAGAAAGAAGGTAACAATGGGGAGATACATACATTCAGGAGTGAATGGAAAATGGTTGACAAAGAGAGTTTGGAATTGTTAGAATCATATTTTTTCGTCATTTATTCTAAAACCGAAATAATGTTGATTAGTTACCACGAGTGTCTAGCGTATTATATATCATACGCAAGAATCAATGATCTTCAAAATACTCACAAGTATAAATTGCAACAATATGTATATCAACTACACGATATTTAGAAGCCTTACTAGTTGAAGGTACACTACAAAAGTTTTCTCAAAATAATTAGAAAAAGTCTTGAAAACTCTCACTTACATGCAACCGGTGCAATTTAATATAACCTAAGAAAGCTTAGCATAAAAAAAAACTAATCACGCTTTTTCGCCACACGGTTATAAATATCTAATATTATAATAAACAGTTACCTTCTAACATCGACTCTGTGACATATATTAGGAAAACAACTAATGTATACTTTCTCTTCTGGCAAGTAGATGGCGATATATGTAGCAGTGTCTCGTTTATTACATAAAATACGGTGGGCATTAATGGGTTAAGTAAGTGAAGGAAAGGGCTATGTAATCTGTACAAACAGGGGCGGAACTGGGAAATTTGTCAGTTTTCCGCCCTTTCCCTATCGCCTCCCGCCCCATCCTTACCATGTCATTAAGATATAATACGTCCGTAAACTATTTTTCTTCTTCTTTTTGTTTAGACATGACTTTTTTATTCAATGCCACGACACTGTTTGCTCTATTTACTTGATCTTCCACTTCTGTTTCGAGCATCTTTTCTTAACTAGATAGTGTGATGTCTATATATTTAAACTCCATCCCTTGTTCTATTATCTGACCCTTCAGCTCCGATTTATATCTTAGTAGATTTGCTGTTATATTTTCTGACGGTTATATTAAATTCCATATTGTGTCGTCTGCATTGCAGATTATTGGGTCGATCAGGTTAAACTCATGAAATTACCCTGTCTCATCCCATTGCCAGCTTCAATTCAAGGTAGTTCTTCTTGTCCGTTACCATTTTGTTGGGTAACTGTCGCATTACGATATGTCTTGTCACAGTCGTCCGAATCACAGTGGCGGCTCAGTTAAATTAGAAATTGAATTTCTCGTATCTGCCGGAATCGAACCCGAGTCGTCCAGCTTACTGCCACATAAGTGGCGTTTACTGTATGTGTATAAATATATTTTTTGTTTTAGTCGAGTTCCAGCACAGAATCTGATTCTTTGCCTTTCGCCAACGAAAACGCCGGCACCATAAGAACGCGAGCTGGAGCTGGTGGTAGACAAGCTGAATTCTCTTCTCCGAAACCGACACGTTCCGGCCTGCCCCCGCATCCGTCCCCAACGCCTAACCGACAACAGCCGAACGTTCGAACCCAAAGAGCGGAGCCGGCTGATGTCTTGAATGATATAGGAAATATGTTAGCGAATCTCACCGATGAGTTAGATGCCATGTTAGAAGAAGAAAAAAGACAGCAGTAAGTTTTGTTTGTAAGTTATATAAGACTGAACATCAAATTTGTTTTAAAAATTTGTTAGGTTATTTTCGGCAACTAAAATCTCTCTGCTGGTTTCTTAAAGTTTATCTATATACAGTCTATAATAATTCAGTATTTAATCATAATATTCCTAATATGAAAGAAAGGTATTTTTTGCTTGGTTTAAAGTTGGTCTCAACAACAGATCATGTAGTGGATTAAACGGACTATTCTTTAAATTCATAACTATTTATATCGTTTGTTATTTCTACTTTAGATACAGGATGCATCCGGAACGTAAATAATTCATCTGATATGGTATATATTTACTAAACCTCTTTCAGCTATGATTGATGATCCTAATATAATGATTTTTGACATGAATTTTGTAATATTTCAAATATATTTGTATCCTTTTTGATGTTAAACGCTTAACTTTATATGCTTGTCTCTTTAGATAGGTGTTAGATCTGCCATTCCGCTTTTGTTGCAACCGTAGTAACTGACCTTTTATACAAAAATATTATATTTTGGTCATTTCTAGAATAGGCACTTTTGCATTACAATCTGTTTAACAGTCAATTTACCATCTTCTCCCTTACTACTTATTTTCATCTCCCACGTCTACTCACTTTCGATTATCTAGTGCATATAAAGAATATAGAGCTGTCCTGCTGTTACACATGATAGAGATATAATTCTAGTTATCGGAAATAACAAATTTTTACTTAATTTCAAATCAAAATGAGTTAAATTTCGCATAATTTTATATAGAATTTATAGACATAAATGATTATTTTATCTTTGTACATAATTTTTAGATAGACAGATATGTATTGTAAATTATGTAAAAGAGTTATTATACTTTTTATTATTTTAAACACGGTTTTCTGGGGATTATGTAGTCATTTTCTTCACAGTCCAAAAATGTCATTGTGATCTCTTGCATCACTATAGAATAGGGTGTTTGTTTAAAATGTAATCCACCTTGAAAATGTTAAAAATCATTCCTATGTATCTCTGATAGGGACTTAATAGTTTATATTAACCCTAACGATATTTTTTTTAACGCTAAAAAGGTTTATTATTACTATAAGATTTTTTGTAGTGTATAAATCAGTGCTATACATTTTTCTATTTGCATTTATATTTAGTTATCATTTAGTTGAATTTATATCGTTATCAATTATTATCATCATGATCATATCGATTTTAGTGATCTCACGTGTCTCTAAGCTTCAAAAGAGCAAGAGCTGGGAAGAGACAGTAGATCAATAGAGGGTGTTAAAGAGCTAAGAATTTCGAAGAAAAATTTTCATTTTTCAATCATATCTTCTCCTTCTTTTTGTTAGAATGGTGTCAGGTGTGGGGCCTTTTGTTACAATAACAATACGTACAAAGAAGAAAAAACTATGTATATGTTAATAAATGTGAAAACTTCCAAAGTATACTTATTATGGTTTCAGGAAAGATACTGGCACAAAAGAAAAAAAGTTATATAGAGGACTTGTCATTTCGTAATTATGGTTATAATTTGTAATATTTTTTGGAACTGTCGATAATCTCTAAAGCGCGAATAATATAGTTTATTGCAGCAACTCTTACTAAAATATATGAATATTTTAGAAGATTAAATTGAGGTTAAACATTTCGAACATAGTTTATGTTTAAAGGTACATATACTTAAAAGAGTAATCAATTAAAGTGAAGAAGGCAAATTTCTAGTACCAGAGAAATAAATACTTAAAAGAATTGGAAATATGAAGGTTTATATCGAAGGTGCATATTAGCCAGATCACCAGAAGAGCAGATGTATATCTGTTACAAGGAATAATTTAGACAAAAAGTGTCCCACTTGTGTCACAGGAAAACCCACTGTAAAAGAACCATTGAAATCGACAGCGAGACTAAAACATCTTTATAGAGGAGGATGTTATGTTGGTATAGTGTTATCTTTCATTTGTTTATATCGACTACCATCTTAATATATCTTACCTCATTTATTGCTCTTTTAAATGATACATTTATTCTTGAATCCCTTAAATGAGACAACTAAAAATCTTTCTAAATTTTATACTGCGCGTATCTTCATTGGTTCGTGTTTGTTCTTGCGTTAATCATCTTCTCGTAGCATTTTCTATAGTTTTTCTTCAGTGAAGATTGAATTTAATTCTAGTTGTATTAACCAAAACAATTTCGAAAGCATTTAGTAGGTCAATAGCAGGTCACGTATGTGTTGATTAGGAGAGCTTTGATACGAAAGCTATCTGCAAGTCTATCCATTTGCAGAAAATTTAACTAAAGACATCAATCAAAGTGATACATTTATCAATGTATCACTTCCATATTTGATCTCTCCCGGTCCAATTTACCGTTTAACCTTAAACTTACATTAAATTGGGGCATATGTAAGCTATAACTACTATTTGAAGGGAAAGAGGATCTCCTATTGCGATCCTTTCTATAACTTATTAATTATTCGAAATAACAATGAGATATTAAAATTTTCAAGGTAGTTCATTTTAAATAAATACAATATACATACAGGGTGTGTCTAATTCAGCTTTTATTAGTAACAAGATATCTATAATAAACGACTGGATAAATATATTGAAAATTATTTGAATACTGTGCTAAAAATATATGTTTGATCAATGTAGAGACACCTTCTATGTTCCACACCTAATTGCATTGATTTCGATTAGTAAAAAAGTGTTATATGTGTCATATTTATCACAAACGATAAAAGTGATTCCATTTGTTTGCTGTTTAAAATTTGAACGGACGGAATGAAATGTAAATAATAATAGATCTTGTACTGAAGTTCTAGGAGATATAAATTCAATAAAAAAATTAGAAATTAGGTACTTTTTGTACAGTCATCTTTAGTATACGAATCTAGAACCTTTCAACCTAGATTTGGTGTTTTCTTGTGACGCAAATCTAAATATCTTAGCTATAATAAGGAACTGTTTTGAGATTGTAAATTCCATGGACGTATAAAAATTCTGAAATACTATATACTTAACAAAACTAAATTATAGAGTTCATTTGAGTCTATTTGGTGCAAATTATCGCGCATTTAAACATTTCTATACGTCATTAAAATGGCATTCTAAGATCAGTCATTATGTCATTACAGAAATATACCAAATTATATTGTAACGTTAAAATCAAACGATGGATTATGAATTCAATTCTATCCACTTTTATTTATTTATAATTATTATAAAATGACGCAGCTTCAGCGCATTTCATTAGTCTGGAGGTTTACCCTACAATATGGTATAAATAGGATCTTATTCTTTACATTCTTAGTATTATTTTACATTAATCAAAACAAAAAGATATATTCTAGAAACAAGGTGAACATAATAAGTTGAAAGATTTGGTATTTTTCGTTTCGTATTTTGTGACCGAAGTATGACAATATTCTTTGTTTTACCGTTAAATGCAGTTGTTGTTATTATTGACCTATCCTTTACAAGGCAGTTTTATTAGTGACATAATGTGTCCATGATATTTGTAACATTCTACGGTAGCACCACATTTCGATCGCTGCTATTTTCTCACTGGTGGCCTTTGACAAGGTGCAAGCTTCCACGCCATAGAAAGAAGTTAAAAACTCTTGTTAGCACTTGAAAACTCGTAATATACTATGTATATTAAGCCGCAAATTACACAGTACATTCCTCATTTTGTTAAATATACTTTTGAATTTCTTGATTCTAATATGGATTTTACGCCAGTGATCCCAATCTTCGTTCAGGTTTCGTTGTGAAATTCTGAACTCTTACTAGTATCTCTTTACTTGATGGTATGATTTTTTGCAGCTGATCATTACCTCGGTTTTGCCGATGTTAAGACGCATACCATACCGTCTGCTACCAGCGTATACTACATCCATTCTTGAAGTCCCGTTGGACTGTTGGCAAGTAAAACGGTATCGTCAGCATGGTACTAGAATAGGTAGGACGTTAATTTAAAACCAAAAGCAACTATCTAAATAATGAGTTATTAACTATTGCAACTGAAATTGTCCACTGTAATAATTACTGTAGTATTGAGTTCCTAAGAAGACATTTGGCTTTCCGTCACAATTATTAAATACACAATTTTGTTAATTGTTATTCTTTTTTCAATAATTTTAAAAAGACTGAAAATAGATTTTTTTTATTGATTGATGTACACCCAAACTGAAAAACATTTATCAAACGTTCTTTAATATGCATCACAGGTCATTTTTTTAATTGAAAGGACATTCTGTATTTACATTTTGCGAGTTATTTGCAATAAAAAATGTTATCAATGTGCTACTTAAATAGTTTATATTAAATATACCTATGTTGTTATTTGTCATAGCAGTTTCTTAATAATATAGCTGTTAATATGACTTTGATACTCTTTTATTATTTTATTTTAATTACATTGATTAACTGTTAACAAGTATGAATATAGATTAAATAATAAATATACTGATTACGAGATTGTAGTTTTCTTTCATTTATCCAAAAATTTTATGTTTTCTTCTATGTAAAGGTCGATTCAGACACATCAGTCACGTCTCGTCACCATCTCGTCACAGTGATTGCGCCGAATCGAACAATCCGTCATACAAAATATTCTTTAATACAAATATGGCGCCGGCATTCACACTCATCAGTTGACGAACAGTTTGCCAGCTGTCAGATAGTTGATAGTTCTGTGACCAAACAGGACCGGTTCGGTACCGTGACTGTGACGTGACTGATGTGTGTGAATCGACCTTTAAGGTTGCGTTCCGTACCAAGAAACTAAGACAGACTAAGAAAACCTATACTTCAGTATATCAGAAGATGTAGAAAAAGGACGTATCATAGCTTCGAAACTTCTTTCAAAGGTTACTGGAAGAAGAAGAAGAGATATATTTCTCTATTACATGTTTTGAATGAAAAAACGGACGTGTGCAAATTCTATACTTAAAACGAGGCGCAAGGAAGGATTTATAGTGTAATAATAATGAATTATCTATCATTACACCAAGAAAAGTTTCAGGATTATTTTAGATTGAATAAAAGACACTTTGATTATATAAATAATTTCATAAAAAAGGACATACAAACGAAAGTCAATATAACACCAAAATAAAATTGTCTTTAGCTGTAAGATAAATTGTATATATTGATACTTATTAAAATAAATGATCAATTACTTTATAAAGAAAGAAAGGAATTGCAATAGTCTCCATTATCTTTTGAAGCAAGCGTACTACAGTAAAGACCATGTACTATCGCGGGATTTGGACTTGGATTAATGGAACGAAAAAGTTGCGCAAAGGCTGCCATATATTTTTAGTCAGGACAAATGAGTGGGAGGTGTGACAGGTACGTATTCAGGACAATTTGGAAAAAAATAAAATAACGGGGATTTAGAGTATTTAATTATTAAATAATTTATTTAAAACAATTAATAAAACTAATATGAGTACTTATGCGTTATATTGTAAGTGTATACTGTATTCGCAAGTTTTGAAGATATTAGTGATATTTTTTTTTTCAAGAGAGGAATGCATAATAAATAAATACTTTGTTTCCTTTTATAGAAACCTAGTTTGTGTGGAATTGGTCAGTTAATTAAATAAAACAAACAAGTAAACAAACACACTAAAAAGAGTAACATTTTAAATTGAAGAAAGTCTTCAATTGAATAGAAAATGTATGCAGTCAAAAATTCCTTTAAATTTAGTTTTAAGCTTGTCATGCTCTTACACAATTATTTATTAATTTATATTATTATTTATATTAATTTATAAAACGAAATTTAAAACGGATTCAAGATTTTCTAAAAAAAGTATTAGTATTACCTGATGACGATCTGTAACAGTAACAATATTATAACTGTTATTGTAAGTCTATATCCATACAGTATATTCCCTCTATAACAAACACGGTTATTACTTGGTTTCGCTTGTATACTCCATTCTACGAATATACGACTGTTTTAAATTCGCTTTAAGGTGTCGATTCCATTGGTCCAATGTACTGAATTGTACAATAGTAAATTCTCCCCATTTTTAAAATACTGTTACGACAGATATAAACCTTAGATTTAAATATGAAGTCATGATATAAATATAAAGTTAATAGTTTATAAAACAGTTGTAAATCAGATTTTGAAGTATATAATTACTATCATGGAGTTTATTTTTTCATTTCAATTATTTCATTGTAAACAAGTTGGTTTTTGAATTATGTGATATAAACGAAATGTAACAACACTTAAGTGATCAAATAGTATAAATTTTTTAGTCGAATATTCAATTAATATTAAAAAAACAAAAAATCTTACTTATTCACTTATTCTTATTCTTCTAAAACTATCATCAACGATCAGATTCACAGCCATAGTCAGTCGGCGATATATGAAACTGTATATAAATTTTCGTTACTTTTTAATATCTGTAACGACTCGGTACTTTAACTATCAATAGCCGGTATGTTATACCGTTACTTTCGTAACTTTTAAGAGTACATAAACTCAAAGCAAACAAATATTTAAAACTAACAAAGTGAAATATTAGATCCTTTTTCTGGTTTGTGAACCATCGTTCTGCCAATTTCTTTTCATTTATATTAAAAATAGTATATTTCTTTTTATTACAGTTATAATACCTAATAAAGTAATAAAATGTGTTATATCAAAGAAACCCGGCACGCCTCTTTGGTGTTTACATTTCACGGAAAGCTTACCCAAATGTCTGATGAACACATTTGGCTTCATAGACGTCATTGTATTTATTTATAGATTTTAACTGAAATAATTTTAGTTTAGATGTCATACTAGTAGACCCTTTTTATTGGAATAATGATTAGACCAATTGACGTTCATACTTCTACTTGCACAGTAAAATATTCGTTGTCGCAGTAAACCAAAACAGTCGTATATTCGTGGAATAGCCTATAACGAAGTACATTAGATGGCAAATTTGGTTATAATGAGAGAAAATAAGATCGAAAACCGTTTACGTTTTTGGCCCGGCCGTGACTATAAATAAATACCTTTTTTAACTGCCGCCTGCAATAAACCTCTTCGGAAATTTACAATTTATGATTCACAAGTATCAGTGTAGGGGTTTGACCATTCGCACCTAATAATATATTGTATGTATTGTATAATGTATTGATATTTGTAATATAAAACTAAACGTAAAAAAAAGTTCTTAAAATTTTTGAAATGGAAAAACACTTCGTAATTTTTAGTTAAAAGGAACATACATTAACTAAAAAATAATCATTCAGGTTTTAATCATAATATAATATAAAATAATAATTTCACTTGATTTAGTGAGACATTTTCTTTTGTAGCTTCAGTTAGGCAAAGTTGACATATTCCATGAATATGTTCAAGGTACATAATTTTTTTGCATTTTATGCATGAAAAGCGAGTACACCTGTTCTTTTTGGTAGTACAAAATACACAACGACCCTTTGTCTCATTTCTTTCTGGAATTGCAGAAGTTACATCTGTGATGCCATAAATTTCGCGAATTCGGCATTTGAGTCTAACTAGCAGATTTGTATTAGTAACTCGAATTTTTAAAGAGGGATATATAAGTCCATTTGCAAGGTTCCTTAGAATATCACGTAGTTTCACTATTTCTCATTTTTATCGTTGGAATTAAAGACAACCATTGAATTAATGCCAGATATATTCAATATGGCATAAAATATAACCATTGGCCAACGCTTTGTGTTTCTTGAACACAGTGGCGCACCCAGAATTTGCCTGAGGGGGGTTGAGTACCTAAAATTTGGGTTTTAGTTTAATTTAAAGTACTAAAGATAGCTTCATACATTCACAATAACGAAATCGAATAGATGCACAAATAGAAATATTTGGGAACAAGTGTTAATAACAACAATGACATCACAGAAGAAATAAAAACTAGAATTGGAAAGGCTCGAGCTGCTTTTGTTAATATGAAGGACATTCTAGAAAGTCATGACAATAACTTAAACCTGAAAATGAGATTGGTTAGATGCTACATCCTTTCGATACTGCTGTACGGAGTAGAGATTTGGACTTTAAACAAGAGCAATACCGATAAACTAGAGGCCTTCGAAATGTGGAAACATAGAAGAATTTTGAAAATACCGTGAACATACAAAATAACAAATAGTGTAGTTCTTCGAAGAATGAATAAAGAACGGGAGCTGTTGATCACCATCAAGAGAAGAAAGTTGGAATATCTTGGTCATGTGATGAGAGGGAAAAAGTACCGATAGCTCCAGTTAATTATCTGAGGAAAGATTCAGGGCAAACGAAGTGTGGGGAGATGACGTATATCTTGGTTGCGCAATTTAAGAGACTGATTCCAGTGCACATCTAACCAATTATTTAGAGCAACAGCTTCAAAGATACGAATAGCAATAATGATTGCCAAACTCCGTAGCGGAGAGGGCACTTGAAGAAGAAGAAGAACTAAAGACAGCAGTGCCAAAGATTCAGGTATCTATTATCCTACCTACCAACTAAAACCACTCTCTCTTAGTTGTGCGCAGTTGACTGTCGCACGTACCATACTCCTAAAGTGAGGTGGCCGCTGTAAGGCTGACGACATTTTTGGAACACTCCCTTCTCGTATCTAGATATTATCTATTGTTCTCAACCTATTTTCTTGTGGCATGTTAAGGTAATTACGATTTTGATGGAAATAAACCACAATTGGAGGTTAAAATAAGTTTATGGACGTTTGATATTAATGTTTGTAAGGTAAGTGAGCCAAATATTGTCACCTTACCGTTTGGTTCTAAATAAATCCTACACTTTTATTAATAAATGAGAACAAATTTGAGTAGTAGTAAAGAAATGTGTTTTCTTTAATACTATATTTTAATTATATCAAAAAACTAAATAAGGAATACTTTTTTATTGAAGTTGAGAATGGCAATATTATGATTATAGATCTCCTATTATTGCCACCGATGTTAATATTCCGCACTGCAGAACTACAGTTAACAGTAAACCTTTTTTTCTAAAAAATAAAGGGAATTAAATAATACAAACGTAACAAACATTTCTAAAAAATATAACTTAAGAACAGTGAGGGCAAGTAAACATTTTTTGTCGTCTTTAGTAAGTCCTGCAAAGGCCTCGTAAATATAACGATAGCACACTATCTACAAACGCATATCTTTTTTCCTGTAGAGATTACAAAGAAAACAATCGCAAGATTCTTCATTCTACTTAATTTTTTGTCGTACTGCTCGTTGCTTTTTTGACAACTTTAGTTGGTTTATTCAATTTTGGTATTGGTGCTAACAAATCTTTGGTAACTTGATGGGCTTTACTGTTTAAAGCTAGCTTTTTGTTCACGGTGGATAATTAATTTCCGATGTAATCAGCAGTCCTGTTTCTTTAAAAGAACTGTTTGGCATTTGGAGTAAAAAATTTTTACTTGATTAAACTTCGGATTACATTTTGTTGTTTCTTTTGTAACCGCATT